TTTTTGTTCTTACAAAATTTTATAAATTCGCAAAGATAATGAAAGAAAGGCGGATATTAAAAATTTTGCATCTTTTTTAAATTTGAATAGACCGTTTCAAAGAATATAAATTTCTCTACAACTTTTGTATGAAACATTTTTCACATATCTCGTAGCTTTTTTTTTTTATTTAATATTTGCAAAAAATTGAAAGACTTTTTTTCTCGAGGAGTTGTTCCTACCCTTGAACATTGAGATACGCTGCTAAAAAAATATAAATCTGATATGTTTCAATGTTTTACAGTATATTCAAAGCTAAAATAGACTGGAGGTCTTATCAACCTTAGTTTCTTCAAGGAAATCTTCGTAAGAACCCAAGACAATAATGTTATTTTTGACTTGGGTTCTTTTATTTTCAGGATATCTACTTGAGAAATTGTGAGTCGTCCCTATCACAGCTCAGAACGAATGTTGCATGCTATTGTCTTTGTTGTGTTATGTCATTATCATGTCATATACATTGTATATGAAGCGAATTGACGCAATCCTCTTTCGCCGCGATCACACGGTCAATCGATAATTTTTTTGCAGGGATGCAGATTGAAATGCGCTGTATGATGATATCGCCTACTGTGACGATCGACCGTTCGTTCTTTTACAGTATCAAAGTTATCCAAAATCGAGAGATCGGGAACCGTAGTGTTACGCCACTATTCGTTGGAACAGTCACTGTCCCAATTTACTAATGACTACAAATACAGAGTACGTCGTTAAAATCCAGATATGAAAACGTTTTATCGAAAAAATTATTTATTATTAGTTAATGTTAAAAACGCATAAAGTGCTTTAATATTCAACTTAAGGATTCTTTCTGGAATCCCTTCACTCGATGTAGTAGTCCTGCGCCTCTAACACTGTCTCAATCCTAACTTAACAAGCGAACACACTGTCTTCAATTGAATCAAATCTATGGCCGCAAATGCCGTTTCGGTGGCGATCGAAAGACCGTGTTGAGATGCTTAGACTTGTTGATAATCCTCTCAACTATGTCCCACATGTAGTAATTGAAAGGGGTCATATCAGGACTGTTGGGAGGCCAAAAGTATTTAAATTAAAACATGTCGTCGTTGTGGAAAAGACAATATTGACCAAATTCAAGAGAACAAAAGCGACATAGAGAGAATCGAGATCGTATTTGAGGGTTGTATTATGTGCTGGCAAAGAAAAAATCTTTAATTTCTTTTTTAGGCAACCGAAAACTTGCTCTATCACCCGGCGACATTTGGTTACATTATACATCTTGAAGCATTTACTTCTGCGGTATTAAGTTGGCCGAGTCCTGGACAATAAGCTTCCAAATTCTTCTTTTCAGTTAGGAAATTCAGCACATCACGAAAACCTCTATCAACTAATATCGTATCACTCTCATGAATAATACTCATATCGTTCGCGTATCTGTGGAAACAATCCTATAATATGTCACATCATTATGCATTGCGTCAAATGGTTCAAAAACGTATAAAACGAAACCATCTAAGGAGTAACCTATCATAGATTTGACTAGTGACATTTTTTCTGCTTATTCCACAAATGTTTTTGTCCTGCATAATTCGCAGATTTTGGGCCAGGCGATAGGTGGCATTGAATACTATGCAGGCTTTATCATCGGGAATGTCGAATAGTAGTTTTGACATTGGTGCCATATGAGTAAAGAATACTGAGCGATCATTCCGATTGATGAATTGTGGAACGAGGTTCTTATGCAAATCTTCTCTTATTGAATTCATATGATTTTCAATAGTCCTCCAACAAATACCGAATAAGAATGAAAGTTGTTCATCAGAAAGAGAAGTTCACATTTTACAAAGTAAAACAGTAACGTGCTTAGGCTGACATGTTACGGAAAAACTGCATACAGTTTGAAATTGTTCTTTATCGAGAGCAAACCAATTTTTGAATGTCATATCATCAATAGAATCGATATTATTCATATCGAATATCTTTTCATTTTTCCCTTTCAGTGATTTTCTTGATAGTAAATAAACATAAGATCATTGACTGTTTTTTATTCTTCAGCACTTACTTCTTTTGTTTGCTTTATAAGTGGCCAAAATGTAGAATTATCGACATGATTGCTACATATACGAGCATTATTTTTGGTTAAGAATTTATAATCCATGAGCTTACAACGGATAATTCAAGGAATTGAGATCAACTTCGGGGGGTTTTCGCAGTTAAAAGTGCATCGTGAATGAGAATTATTGATTATAATTATAATGAATTATAATGAAGAATTATAATGAGAATATAATATCTTGACGACAAATCGAGAGATCAGATGTATCTGGATCATCATCTACTTGGGATCTTGAAATGATTTTTGATCGATTATTAAGTTGGTAACAGTTTTTGCATATTTTGGTCTGTGATGGAATGTGGTTCAATTCTCCGAATTTCCGTTTCTTCGGATTATTTTTCCGCAAATTGTTAACCATCGTCAACGAATTCGATATGTCTTTGATAAGAAAAAACTTATAATTTTTCGATCTTTTTTAGTCATTACAGCTTAAACATTTAGTAAGAGGCATTGTTTTATTGAAGAATCAATCGATCGTCAAGATATGAAAAAATATACTTGAAGAGATAAGAGAATGTAGAAAAAATTGGGATGAAACAAAAGAAAAGTAGTGAGAAACTCACTTCAACAATAAACAAACAAGAAAATGGAGAACAAAGAAACAAGTAATATCAGAACAAACGAAAAATCAATTGAGAATATTATAATCTTGAGCGAGACAAACTGTAAAAAGGACTCCAATTAGACTTATCGAAAATATAATGATGATTTTCAACACGTAAATACACATAAGGTTGTTTGTTCACACAATCTGTGGAATATATATAGGGTGTACAAATTAGTTCGGTCCGTTTTCAAAAGATGGCTCCGGCTATTATGAATGGTTCATAGTGACTGCCGATTTTGGCGGTTTCAGAGAGGTTAGACATCTGCCAATAATATTCAGTTTATATCGCTTTGAGTTTCATACAAAAACCTTGCTTTTTACAGTGTTGAAAATGTCGAATTTTCTGTTAATCAAGCAGCATTTGCGGGAGGTTTTAATTTTCTGCTTTAATTGGAAGAAAAATGCAGCTGAAGCGCATCGAATGCTTGTTGAAGTTTATGGTGACGTTGCTCCAACTGATAAATCATGTAGGGAATGGTTTCGACGTTTCAAGGATGGAGATTTCAGCGTCGAAGACAAGCCTCGCTCTGGATAGCCAAAAAAATTCGAGGACAAAGAATTAGAGGCATTACTCGAAGAAGATTAAAGTCAAACGCAAGAGGAGCTTGCAGAATCATTGGGAGTAACTCAACAAGCCGTTTCCGTACGATTGAGAGACATGGAATTTATTCAAAAACAAGGAAATTGGGTGCCTTACGAAACCGAGAGACGTTGAAAGGCGATTTTTCACTTGCGAGCAGCTGATTCAAAGGCAACGAAGAGAAGGTTTTTTGCATCGGATTGTAACTGGAGATGAGAAGTGGATATTCTACGACAACCCCAACAAGAAAAAATAGTACGCCAAGCCTGGTCAATTGTTGCCATTGACTTCAACATCAACACCAAAGCCGAACATACATGGTTCGAAGATCATGCTCTATATCTGATGGAACCAAAAGGGTGTTGTTTACTATGAGCTGCTGAAACCTGGAGATCGCATTACGGGCGATCGGTATCGGCTACAATTGATTCGTTTGAGCCATACATTGCGAGACAAACGGCCGGAATACGAGTAGACATGATAAAGTTATTCTTCTTCATGACAACGCTCGGCCTCATGTCGCAAAAGTCGTAAAAAAATATTTGGAAACGCTGAAATGGGATGTTTTATCGCACCCGCTGTATCCTCCGGACATTGCTCCTTCTGATTACTGGTTGTTCCGAAGGATGCAGCACGATTTGGCAGGTCACCGGTTCACTTCTTTCGCAGAAATCGAAAATTGGCTCCAAACTTGGATCGCTTCAAAAGAGTCATTTTTTCGAGATGGAATTCGAAAATTGCCTGAGAAATGGGAGAAAGTAGTAGCCAGCGATGGAAAATACTTTAATTGATCTGTTCATTCATTTTGTTTTGAAATAAATACATTTTTTATCACAAAAAAACGGACCGAACTAATTTGTATTTCGTAGGATAGTAAAGTATTTCTACTGCGAGAGAACTTGTGAATGCGTCATATATAATAGCGAGACTCTATCTTTCAATTTAAGTATTTCCTCGGTAATTGAATTGCTTCAAAGACTTGGTCAGTGATTAATAGGAAACATATTTTCAGGGTGCTTTATAAATCACTCCCTCCTCCCCTCCCCATAAATGAAATAGCGGTAAATAGTTGATCGTTCATTCTCTGAACAATGAATCATAGATAATCCATTCAACAAAAAATATCCTCAATAAACACGAATTTCAGCCACGCATTCTTCCTTATGTAATACACCCTGACTGGAAATAATCACTTTCACCCTCTTGTATCTCCGAAACTGTGTCTATGCTCATCTTGAAATTTTACTGGAATGAATATTTCATCTAATAGTACTATTTGCCATGAAAAAAAGTTTGAAAGTCGAGGTTCAAAAATTGAGCGAAATTTGCCATCACTCTTTATATTATTTTTTACTTCGTCATATCCTGTCTCGACATTCTACACCTACACATCATAATGTTTCTTAATTACTCTTTCTTTTTCTTAGTTATTGTGACATCATCACCTATACAGCGCAGATAGTTGCAGTAACATTGCTGCAACATTGCAACGATGTTGAAATGTTGCAGCAATATTGCTAGAACTATTTGTGTTGTATGAGCAATATTTTGCTTGAAATTAACTCAATAATACATTTTTGCGATACATTTATGCATATTATGTTTCCTTATTATTATAGTACAACCGTACCTGTATAAAAAATCACGATGAATCTTACGACAAATCCATCTATTATCACGTGATTAATATGTTTCAGCAATATTAATTGTCGAGTCTGCGGCCATCTATCCACCTATTGAATTTGTGGTTGGACAACCTTTTTATTATTCCATCGTCAAGACTACCACTGATGTAGAGATGGGAACAAGTGATGTTATAAGATTGTTTTCTGGTTACATCGTTGAACCTAATTATTAATTAACAACGAAGTCCATGTATTCGTGGTTGTGTCACGTTGATACAAAGTCGCGATTGGATTCAATAAAATAATGCAATATTAGGTATACAAATGAATAATCTAAATTTTTCAGCTAAATTCAAAATTTATTTTAACAGAAAGTAAAACAAATTTATCAGTCAAAATATTTGCCGTTGTTTTCTATAACTTTAAGCCATCTTTCAGACAGCTGATGAATTCCATGTCGGTAAAATGTTGTATCTTTGGACACAATAAAATCGTCAAACCATTTTTGGATTTCATCCACTGATTTAAGAGGGTCACCTTGACAAAAAATGAGTCAAATTCGAAGTGATATTTCGCAGAAACTAATCAATAGAATCAAATAACTGTTTTTGGAAGTTAATAAGTATGTTTTAAACTTTTATTAAACATGTCAATCTGATACAAATATAATAATAATAATGAATTATTTACTACGATTACTGAGCATGCAGTGCGTGGCGAATGAACCAACTATTTCATTAAGAAAGAAATCTGCACAAGAAGCTTTAGTATTCTTATTTGATAACTCGCTTTCTAAGGAAGTATATCAAAATATTCGTTTGGAAACAAAAGCATGTAGTGCAGATATTTGGCCAACATACAATGATGTTAGAGCTGCTAAAGCAAAATGCAGGCCACCAAAGGGAACAGTTTTTGTTTCGGAAAAAAGCAGAGACTACTGTTCAATTGCTGTTAAAACACATTACAGAAAGAATTACAAATTTACAAACAGAAGTGATTGTTCAATATATGCAAAGCGAAGGCGTTACGGAAATAGAAACAATAATGATGTGTTCTTGGAGATTCGATGGGAGCTCTAATTTTTCATGTTTTAAGCAAAACTACAAATCAGTAGAAGATAATATACCGCAAAGTGATCAAAATTTATTTATTACCACAATTATTCCATTATTCAACAGTGAACAATATTATATTATGGAACAATAAAGCATCTCAATCTCCAAGATCTTGTCGTCCTCTTACAGTAGAATATACTGCAGAATCAATAGATGTTGTTTTGTAACAAAAACCAAATGTAGAGAATCAAATAGACAAATTAGAAGTTCTCGAAGTTAAATTGGATGAAAATCATTGTATTCGCATCCATTTTTAAATTGTGTCCTCACATCCACGGTTGCGCTTTTGATAGATTTGTTTTAGCGCAAATAATCAATCACCATGAATGGGCTGTAAGAAAGAAATTGGTGTGCAGTACACTATTGCATTCGTAGTATGATTTGCAAGAATGTGGGTACATATCGTACAGAATGGCGCGACAGTTGTAAATATTAAATAAGTTTGTAATGTTTGTAAATATTAAATAAGTAATGTTTGTAAATATTAAATAAGTAAATAATAAAAATTGGAAGAAGTATAAGAGAACTAAAGCAGCTCTAGCATATGCCAAGAATGCATGAGAGGATCTGCGATGTAAACAATAGTTTTTCCAACATCTTCGCAATTCAATCTACATCCGTTTACAACAAATTGTAAATTATACAATCACATAACGGAGACACTGAACTGATTATTAAAATGTATTCTACATTAAACGATTCTCTTCAGAACTACTCAAATATTTGACAAAAGAAAACTTCCGTGCATAAGTTTTTAATCAACCGTTAATGGACAAAAATCAACGAATCAAAACATTGTTTCTTACAGCTTATGATCAGAAATTTATCATAGCTATATATTCAAACAATAAACGTCTTTAAGGCTGTTATATATTTTTAGAATATTGTAAATAAGTTTTTACTAACAGACTGGTGCATGAGTCATCATACTGAGGTGTTTGTTTACATCTTGCACTAGATCCAGCTGGCTTCTGACAGCTGGTGGAGGATAATGACCGGGGCTGTATTCCACAAAATTCACTGCCAGTACTGGCAGTGAATTTTGGAACATGGACTGGACTAGGGGAATGACGCTTTTTCTCTCGCAGTACGAATGCACGCTATTGTACATATTCTACTATACATTATATTTTATTATATTATAACAATATAACAATTATATTATTGCGTTTGCTGAGAATTTGGTAATTTTGTATTTGAGTTAGAATAATTCATTCATAGAACATGTAGGATAAAAATGAAAACTATTTTCTCTCTCTCTCTCTCTCTTTCTCTCTCTCTCTCTCTCTCTCTCTTTCTCTCTCTCTCTCTCTCTCTTTCTCTCTCTCTCTCTCTCTCTCTCTCTCGTATAATATATGTAATGAAAATAACAGCAATATCGAGTCCATTCGGATCATAATTAGTTCAATTGATATAGAAGAATAATAATTTTCAAATAGTGAAATGACCTCAAATAATATTATTAAGACATTATTATTGGGTGAGTGCAAAAATTCATGTCCGATTCCAATAGATATTATTAAGAGAGTTATATGGCAATGCTATTGATTGTTATATCTACGTTATTAGAAAATTATTGTACATTGTTAGAAAAATGATATTTCTCTCGCCATTTGAGTGAAAGACTTATGAATTTTGATTGAATTTACATCATGAAAAAAGATTTTGAAAATGAACGAAGATAAATACATTTAAGGTATATTATGAGTTTCGAAAAGATGTAACAGTTGGTATCACTGTAAAAAAACATTCAATTCTATTAGGATCGTATCAATAATTCGAACTATTAAGAAATGGTTTACGAAATTTAGACGTGGTAATTTCCACCTTGACAAACTAACCACGCTCTGGCTGATATTCTGTTATAGAAGATATTGTATATAATTTAGTGAAAAATAATTTACAAATTTCAACAAAAAAGGTTGTTGAAAAACTCAACACTGACAGATCGATCTCTCGGCATTTGAAAAAGGTTAAATACACTTTGAAATTCGATATATGGATGGCGTATTTGTTAATCGAAACTGATAAATTGAATCAAGTTCCTGCAGCTGTTCTCTTGCTTGACCGATTAAATAAATATTGGGTTGGCAACTAAATAATTGCGGATTTCACTGATAGATAGCGTTAGTTAAATTTTTAGGTATATTTACGTATTCGAAATGTCAAATTCATATTGTTGTTTGATAGTTGGTACTTTAATTGGTATTCAGTAAAAAAATTATATCGATCGGTTGTGTAGTTTTTGTTTGGCGTCGGTTGAAAAATGGAAAAGCAAAACGAACATTTTCGTTATATTTTGCTTTTTTACTTTTGCAAAGGAAAAAAATGTATCGCAAGTTCATAAAAATTATGTGCTGTGTATAGTGAGGAAGAAGAAGTGCCTTAAAAGAACGGCAGTGTCAAAATTGATTTGCTAAATTACGTTCTGATAATTTTTCACTCAAAGATGAACAACGCTCTTGTCGTCCAGGTGAAGTTGATGACGATCAAATCAAAGCAATAATCGATGCGGATCGTCGTAGCACAACACATGAGATTGCAGAGAAACTCGATGTATCACATACATACATCGAAAAGCGTTTAAAATAACTTGTCTACGTAAAAAAACTCGATTTATGGGTTCCTCATCAACTCAAAGAAATTTACTTAACATAACGCATTGCCATCTACGATTAGCTTATGAAACATAACGAAAATGATCCATTTTTTAAATTATTGATAACGGGCGATAAAAAATGGATTATTTACAACAATGTCAATCGAGAAAGTCGTACAGCAAGCAAGATGAACCAGCGCAAACAATATCCAAACCTGATATTCATCAAAAGAAAGTTATGTCATCAGTTTGATGGGATTACAAAGGAATTGTCTAGTTTGACATTTTACCACGTAACCAAACGATCAATTCAGATGTATACATTCAACAACTAACCAAACTGAACAATGCAATTCAAGAAAAGCAACCAGAATTGGCAAATCGAAGAGGTATTGTGTTCCACTATGACAATGTAAGGCCACATACATCTTTAGTCGGCAAAATTATTGAAGCTTGGGATGTGTTTCTACATCCATCATATAATCCTGACCTTGCACCATCAAATTATTATTTATTTTATTCTTTGTAAAACTTCTTGAATGGTAAAAATTTCAATAATGATGAGTTTTGCCGATAGAAACCAGAAGTTTTATGAACGTGGAATTATGATGCTGCCTAAAAGATGGCAAAAGGTCATTGATAAAAATGGACATTACTGCATAAATGGATACATTACTACATAAAATTATTTCGTTTCATAAAAAAATTGTCTTTTATTTTCTTAAAAATATCCGCAATTACTTAGTTATCAAACCAATAGTAGTTTTTGAATTAACTAGTAATTAATAGATGATGAAAAATGAATCCTATGTAACAATGTTTAAACGCGTTTAGAAACAAGCAAATGAACAGAACCCATGGCAAATTGCTATGGCAATCTTGCATCCTGAAAAGGTGATACTTTCTGTTTGGTGGGATTGCAAAGGAACAATTTATTTTGAGTTGCTCTCCGTTGACCAAAAGATTAATTGTAATAAAAAGATTAATTGTACTGTCAACAATTAGACAATCAAAGACAACAATCCAGGAGAAGTGTCCAATTTTTGCCAATCATAAGGAAATTGTCTTTCACCACAATAACGCAAAACTATACATAAAACAAACCTTGCGCAAATTAAAAAAATTGAAATGAGATCACACCCACCGTATTTTCCTGATATTTATCGGACATTTATTTGTTTCGATCATCGCAAAACGATTTGAATAGAAAAATATTTGCATCTTTGGAAGCCGTCAGAAACTATTTTTTTTTTCAAGGTAAACCCGAAGTAATCTTATAATCGAGGCATCCGTATTCTATCAGAAATTGGGAAAAGATTGTAACGATGGCGATTATATCATTGATTAATAAAAAAAATATTTACTTGTCTAATTACTGTTTGAATTTTAATTAGAAATCGGATGTAAACTTTTGCATTCATCCAATAAGACGTCATTTAAGACCATACTACTTGCTACTTGAGTTTTACCTATGTTAAGTTAGTTGTGTCGTGTATAAATATAAATATTACCATGTTTCTTGATTTGTTTCAGCTCTCATCTTTCAAAAATCTGGACGGATAGGACCTATTGATGAATTTATAGTTGATCGTTCATTTATATATATCATCACCAAGCATATTACAAACGCAAGGATAAATTCTCTTAACATTGTTCCGCTTTTTTTTGGAAAATATGTGCAGCTTGAGATTTGAAATAGATTGAAATTTGGCGAAAAAAAGAGAACCTGAATTATTTGAATTATTTGTTAGTAAAGTTTTTTGATAAGTTTTTAAAAACTAAAAAATTCC